TCAACCTTGCAGTTCAAACCGACTTTGCAGTCTAGCACATTAACCCACAGTGCCACACCAGGTTAGGGAAATGCAAATTAAAATCTCAGTAAAATAATCTACACTTATTCTAATGGCTAAAATTAAGAAGACTGACCACATTAAGTGTTGATGAGGATTTAAAAGACCCTGAACTTTTATATGCCATTGGCTGTTGTTATCATTATGTGTGATGGAGTTGGTTCTGACTCATTGTGCCCCTGAAATGAAGGTCACACAGGTACAACAGGAGGAAACACTGCCTATCCTAACAATTGTTGTTATATTTGAACCCTTTGTTGCTGCCACTGTGTCAAACCATCTCATTGGGGGTCTTCCTTTTTTTCACTGATGCTCCCCTTTACCAATCATGATTCTGTTCTTTAGGGACTGATCCCTTCTGGCAACATGTCAAAGTTTCTCATTGTTTCTAAGGAGCATTCTGGTTATACCTCTTCCAAGACAAATTTCTTTGTTCTTCCGGTAGCCTGTGCTACTTACAATATCTTTCTCCAAAATCATAATTCAAATGCACTGATTCTTCTATGGTCTTCCTTATTCATTGTCCAACTTTCACAAGTATGTTGTTGTTAGGTGCCATCAAGTCGGTACCGACTCATAGTGACCTTCTGCACGATAGAATGAAACACTGCCTTGTCCTGTGCCAACCTCACAGTCATTGTTACACCTAAGCCCATTGCTGCTGCCACTGTGCCAATCCATTTGTTGGGAGTCTTCCTCTCTTTTGCTGACTTTTCACTTTACCAAGCATGATTTCCTTCTCCAGGGACCGGTTCCTCCTGATTAACATGTGCAAAGTATGAGAGACGAAGTCTGGCCATCCTGGCTTCTACAGAGCATTCTTATAACACAGATTTGTTTGTTCTTCTTGCAGCCCATAATCTTTTTAATATTATTCTCCAACATCGTAACTCAAATGCAACATTTTTTTTAATGGTATTCCTTATTCATTGTCCAACTTTTACATGCATTGTTTTGTTATTAAGTGCCTTAGAGTCAGTTCTGACTAATAGCTTCCCTGTATAAGGTTTCCAAAGAGCAACTGGTGAGTTCCAGATGTGGAACTTGAGGTTGAAATCGACCTTGTGGTCTAGTGCTTATCCTACAGCACCACATCAGGACACCATTACACATGCATATTGTTGTTTTTAAGTGCCGTCAAGTCTGTTCTGATCCATAGCAACTCTGCATAGGGTTTCCAAGGAGCGACTGGTGAGCTTGAACTGCCAATCTCACAGTTCAAACGGCTTTGCAGTCTGGTGCATTAACCCACAGTGCCACACCAGGACTCATGCATAGGAGGCCATTAAAAATACCTTGGCTTATGCCAGGTGTACCTTAGTCCTCAAACTGCTATCTTTGCTTTTTAACACATTCAAAAAATCTTTTGCAACAGATTTGCCTAGTGCAATATATTGTTTGATTTGTTGACTGATGCTTCCATGAGCGTTGCTTATAGATAAAGTCTTTAACAACTTCAGCCTTTTCTCCCTTTATCATAATGCTATTTATTGGTCCAGTTGTGAAGATTTTCATTTTCTTTACATTGAAGTGCAACCCATATGGAAAGCCTTTGATCTTCATCAGTAAGTATTTCAAGTCCTCCTCACTTCAAGGTTGTATCATTTGCATATCATAAGTTGTTGATGAGTTTTCCTCCAAGCTACCACATCTTCTTCATATAATCCAGTATCTTGGATTATTTGCTTAGCAAATAATATAAATAGAACACTATTTATATAAATAAATAGTACACAATTTGCTTAGCATACAGATTGAAAAATTATGCTGAGTGGCTACAACCCAGACGTACACTTTTTCTGATTTTAAACCATTCAGTATTCTCTTGTTCTGTTCTAATGACTAACTTAGGGTCTGTGTACAGATTTATCATGAGCATAAATGCCCTGGAATTCCCATTCCTCACAATGTGATCTATATTTTATTATGCTCCACACAGTTGAATGTCTTTGCATAGCCGATAAAGCACAAGTAAACATTGGTTGTTGTTGTTGTTATGTGCCATTGAGTTGGCACCGACTCCTAGCGCCCCTATGCACAGCAGAACAAAGCCCTGCCCAATCCTGGGCCAACCTCACTACTGTTGCCACGCTTGAGTCCATCAATACTGCCAACTGGGCAATACATCTCGGTGGGGGGTCTTCCTCTTTTTCTCTGACCCTCCATGATGTATAAATATACAATCACTTTGGAAAATAGTCTGGCAAAGAAGGACATGTAATCAACATGTCTTTAGTCATAAATAGAAATTAAAATTATAACATGTTACCTATTGTTGTTGTTGTTGTTAAGTCGCATCAAATTGATTTTGACTCATAGTGAGTCACTTAGGGTTTCTAAGGACCAGCTGGTGAGTTTGAACAACCGACCTCCATTTAGCAGTCCAGTGCTTAACCTATAGTGCCACACCAGGACTCCTATTAGACACCTATTATTGTTGTTGTTGTTATGTGCCATCAAGTCGGTTCTGACTCATAGCAACACTGTATAGGTTTCTGAGGAGTGGCTAGTAGATTTGAACCACCGACCTTGTAGTTAGCAGTCAAGTGCTTGTCCTATATCACCGCATCAGGACCTATAAGAGTGCCTAAAATAGAAAAAGAAAAAGAAAGAAAACTAACACAAAAAAACTCACAACATCAAATACTGGCAAGGATATAGAGCAACTAGAGTTTTTATGCATTGATGGTAGAAATGCAAAATGGTACAGCCATTTTGGGAAATAATTTGGCATTTTTTCATTAAGTTAACCATTCACTTATCATATGACCTATGACCCTGCAATCCCACTCATAGGTTTATGCTAAAAAAAAAAAAAAAGCAAAACAAAAACAAAACAGGAGATCCTCATTATCACACAAAACCCTGTGCATAAAGTCTATAGTAGCTACGTACATAATTATCAAAAATGGAGCACATCCCTCACCCATTGAATAGTTGAACTGTGGTAAATATATACCAAGGAATACTGTTGCTTTGTTGCTAAGTGCCATCAAGCCATTTCCAACTCATAGCAACCCTTGTATAGGGTTTCTGAGGAGGGGCTGGTGGGTTTGAACTGCTGACCTTGCAGTTTAAACCAACCTTGAGGTCTAGTGCTTATCCTACGGTGCCATACCAGGACTCCATGGAATACTATTCAGCAGTAAAAAGAAATAACTTCTGATATCCATAACAACATGAATGAATCTCAGATGCATTTTTCCAAGTAGAAAAAAAAAAAAAAAAAAAAGACAACCTAGTGTATGAGTGAAATTTGCAAAAAGACAAAATTATAATGTTGGAGTGTCAGTGATTGCCAGGAATTTTGGATGTGGGGAGAAGCTGCTACAATGGGGAAACACAAGGGAATCTTAGAAGGTGATGGGCTTCTTCTGTGTAGTATTGTGGTGGGCATAGGGTGTTCTGCATTTGTCAAAACTCCTAGAACTGTACACCACAAAGAAATAAATAAGTATGAACAGTGATTAGTTCTGTAGGGTTAAGCAAATGTATTTTCTATTCCTGAAGAAATTAAGAACTTTAACCTGCTTTTTGCTGATTTTTTGTTGTTGTTGTTTTTGCTCTTGTTCAATCTTATGTTTTACTCCCTTTTGGATAGGCCTTGTGTTTTGCTGAATGAACCATGTACTCCCACGATGTTTTCATGGATAGTTTAACAGTGGAAGACTCTTAGTATAGCTGTATATCTGCAAGGCTCTAACTAAATACAGAATGATTAAGATTCCTGGTATGACTCAAAATGTCAGTTTGAACCTCAAGGTTGATGGTTCAAGCTCACCAGCCACACCTTGAAAATCCTATACAGAGTCGCAATGGGTTGAAGACAACTCGATGGCACTTAACAACAACAATGGAGCTACCCATTCTAAGTCATTTCATTCCCTTAGACTTTGAGGATTCCTCTCCATTGTCTTCAGTCATCCAGATCTACTGAGTTGAAGTAGGATGCAAATCTCTTGGGACACTTTTAGGCTTTTTCTTCATGTTTGAGATCAGAAATTTTGCCTGTGTGTCTAAACATACAAGGTTTTTCATTCATCTTACATATATTTGGTCAGAATTTCAAATCTAAAGACCCATGTTTTCCCGAACTCTTGGAACTTTTCTTCTATTTTTTCCTTTCTCTGGCATCTCTTTCTGATACACTTTGGTCAATGTTGGCTCTTCCGAAAGCACTTTCTGTTTTTCTCAAGGTTTCTTTAACATATTCCATTTCTATTGTTCCATGTTGGGTTTCAGTGACATCTTTGCCCTTTCATTTACTACTTCTCTCTTTGCCTGGTCTCTACTACTAGGCCCGCCTTCTGTTGGGAGTGGGTAGGTCTATGTCTTATAGCCCACAAGCAGCAGAGGAGGGGAAGGAGCTCCCTCTGCTCCGACTAGCCCAGTTACTGAGTTGCTGGGGTGTATGATCTCCTCTACATGCACAATTCTCCGTTCATCTTATAGAACCAGGTGGTTTGGAGCAGCCCCTGAGAGCAGAGTAAGCACAGCAGGCCACAGGCAGGCTCCAAGAGCACCTGTTTTTTTCCCCCCAGTGGTGTTTGCTTAGGAAGTCAGATGCCAGTCAGAGGTCAACACAGTTGTCAGTCATAACCAGGAGTCTCATAGACTAAGTAACCTCTTTTGTTCCTCAGCACTAATTAATAAAGCAGCACTAATGAGGGCTTCCAACTTGGGTTTTAACAATAACAAGGAAGGGGAAGCTTATTGAACCTCGTGTTGGAACAACACAAGCTAGAGAGGGATATAAAAGTCCTGACAGCCCAGAATGCCTCACACACTCACTCACTCACTCATTCACTCACTCATTCACTCACTCACTCACTCACTCACACACTTGCTCACACATTCACCCACTCACTCACTCACACACACACTCACACCCTTGTCCCATCACCCACCTCCCTATCTCCCAGTCTACCCTCACCCCCACCATGACTGACACCTGCTACTCCGGAACCTATGTTCCAGCTGCATCCACCACATCTGTCTGCTCCAGCGAAAGGAGCTACAGCAGCCGTGTCAGTCTGCCCAGTGACTACCCTTGCTCCTCCTATGAGGTGGACAACTGCCAGGAGAGCTACTGCGAGCCGCCCTGCTGTGCTCCCACCTGCTCTGAGTCCTCCTGCTGTGTCCCCTCCTGCCCCCAGTCCTTCTGCTGTGTCCCCTCCTGCCCCCAGTCTATCTGCTGTGTCCCCTCCTGCTCTCAGTCCTCCTGCTGTGTCCCCTCCTGCCCCCAGTCTTCCTGCTGTGTCCCCTCCTGCCCCCAGTCTATCTGCTGTGTCCCCACCTGCTCCGAGTCCTCCTGCTGTGTCCCCTCCTGCCCCCAGTCCTCCTGCTGTGTCCCCTCCTGCCCCCAGTCCTCCTGCTGTGTCCCCACCTGCTCCGAGTCCTCCTGCTGTGTCCCCTCCTGCCCCCAGTCCTCCTGCTGTGTCCCCTCCTGCCCCCAGTCCTCGTGCTGTGTCCCCTCCTGCCCCCAGTCTATCTGCTGTGTCCCCTCCTGCTCCGAGTCCTCCTGCTGTGCCCTCTCCTGCCCCCAGTCTTCCTGCTGTGTCCCCTCCTGCCCCCAGTCCTCCTGCTGTGTCCTCTCCTGCCCCCAGTCCTCCTGTTGTGTCCCCTCCTGCTCCCAGTCTATCTGCTGTGTCCCCTCCTGCTCCCAGTCCTCCTGCTGTGTCCCCACCAGCTGCACCCCAGCCTCCTGTCTGACTTTCATCTGCACTCCCATGAGCTGTGATTCGAGCCCCTGCCAATCCACCTGCACCAGCTCCTGTGAGCCTTCCTGCTGCCAGCAGTCTAGCTGCCAGTCATCC